GGTAACTTTTTATGGGAGTAGAAAGTCTCATCTTTTTCCTGTGGAGTGGCTGGTGGATTTAAACGGCTGCCTTCATGGTTGGCAGCCCAATGTGTGGCCAGTACACCACCCAAGGATGTGCTGAATAAGATGTTGAGGGCTGTGCCCTCGATTCTGACTCCCAGGACCCTGTGTGACAAAGTAGTCCATGCTCCTGGGTTATCTTTACCATGTTCATCGAAACCACAGGAGAAAGGCAGGTCGTTCCACTCGCATCAACAGTCCCAGTCCCAGAAACTCGCAGGAGCAGATGGCCAGACCTAGCCCTGATGGAGCCCCTAGTGGGGTCGACCTGCTGACCCTTCAGCTAGCAAGCCAGTGTGTAACCATCGCACTGCCAGGCCTCCTTTTGCTGAGGCCATGTCCTTTGCTGTTGAGTTAATCTGGCTCGCAGTGAACTGACAGGACAGACTAAAACTGCCCCATGGGGTTGCCAAGCTGTCATATTTACAGAAGCAGACGGCTGCGGCATACAGCTGGTGGGCTTGACCAGCCAACCTTCCAGTTTGCAGTTGAGAGCTTAACTTTTGGGCCACCAGTGCTTCTGGTTAAGTAAGATAGCCCACTGCCATTGGGTTGATTCCAACCCACAGGGCAGGGTAGAGGTGCCCCTTTGAGCTTCTGAGAGTACATTTTCACAGGAGCAGACAGTCTCATCTGTAGAGCAGCTAGCTAGTGGGTTTGAGTCTCCAATCCTGTGGATAGCAATCCAACGCTTATTCAATGAGGAGTCCCCATCAAACAAGGTAATGGGTGTCAAATGCTTAGCGTGTGCTAGGGATTTAGTCTAAAAACAAACGACAAACAAACCAAACAAACAGAACCCCAAAGTCACTGTCATCGAGCCCATTCCGGCTTAAAGCACCCCTGTGAGTGTCTCGGACTGTAACTCTTACCTGGAGTAGAAAGTCTCCTCTTTCTTCCCAGGAGTGCCTGGTGGTTTTGAACTGTTGACCTCGTGGTCAGCAGTTGAATGCACACCTACTGTGCCACCAGGGCTCCTCTAGGCATATAATAGGTGCTCCAAAAACAATGGACGTGTTGTTGAACTTGCACCTCCTTTGCCCTCCCAGCTGACTGGGACGAAGCAATTGATGATCTGTGGTGAACTGTCCTATGGAGAAGGAGCGCTGGGAGCATAGTGGCTATGAGTTGGGCTGTGGTAAACAAGGTTCACCACCCACTTCCCGGAAGAAAGAGAGGGCGTTCTGCTCCCGTGAAACCGCTACTGTCTTGGAGACTCTCAGGGGCAGCCCGGCCCTGCCCTGTGGAGTGGCTGAGTGGCTTCCACTCTGGCAGTGAGTGTGAGTGAGTGTGAGACCAGTTCCTCTGAGGAGATGCCCAGAGAGCTCCTTCTGGAACAGCAGCCAGCAGAAGCCCTGTGGGATGCGGTTGCTTTCGGACGTGCTTGGGGTCACCAGGAATGGGCAGCGACTCTGTGGGGACAGGTGGTGGCATGAGGACAGCTGTGACTGGAGGCACAGCAGGGGAGCATCACCTGACACGCTGCTCCGAAGCACGCCCCCCCCCTGTGCTTTACTGGAACAGGAGGGTCTATTGTCCTCACATCCACAGCCAAACCAAGTCCCCGCTGATCTGGCCGGCAGGTGGCAGTGTGACACTGAACGAGTGCCCCTTTCCCCTGAAATTCCTTTCAGATATGAAGATGGATTAATACAACAAACATTTACTGAGCACCTACTGTGGGCCAGGGACTGTCAGGGGCCGTGAGGATACAATGGTGACAATATAAACATGACCCTGGCCTCCATGTAACGTAATGATGCATTCCAGCTGGCCCCATACCCCAGGGAGGGCTTCACACATCTGCAGCAACTCCCTCCATCTCTTCATCCATGTCCTCCACAAACGGCTATTTCCTGGGTGCCAAGCGAGACAGAAAGAGGACCCGGGCTAGGTTCTTGCTCCGGGCTGTAAAGGAGGAGAGTGGAGCAGGTCTGGGAGGTTATTCCACAGTGCTCACCCCTGGGCTGTGTCCAAACCCTGGCTGTTAAGTCAGTTCTGATCCACTAGGACCCCACACACTGTAGGCTGCCCGAGACTCTGGTCACTTGCAATGGTTGCCAGGCTCTCTTCAGAGGCACCTCGAGATGGGTTTGAATCGCCTGCCAGCTAGTAGTTGCATACTTAATGCTCTGCGCCACCTAGGGACTTCAGTGACATGTTAGGATCACCCTAGTTCAGCTAATTTCCTGATTCCACCTCTCACTCAAACTCACGGCTATTCAGTTGATTCTGACTCATGGTGACCCTATAGGACAGGACAGAGCTGCCCTGGTGGGTTCTGAGACTGTAACACTTTATGGGAGTAGAAAGCCTCCTCTTTCTCCCATGGAGTGACTGGTGGATTCAAACTGCTGACCTTGCAGCTAGCAGCCCAACTCAAAATCCACTATGGCGCCAGGGCTCCTCTTAGGCATTTTAATGTAATTTTCTCATTGCCGTTGAGTCGTGTCATTGTGGAGTCAACGCCGTGTGGCTGACTGCAATGTTGGAGGCCACCAGTCGCTCTTCGGGAGAAAGAGGATGCTCCCTGCTTCTGTAAAGACTGACAGCCTCAGACGCCCTAGGGAGCCGTTCTTCTTTGGTCGCTAAGAGTTGGAATCAACTTGACGGCAGTGGATTCGATTTGGGGTGAGGGTGCAATACAATCATTGGAGCCTTTCCGTTCTTTTCCAAGAATTCGAGGGGCCACTTCCTTTTCTAGTTTCAGTCTGCCCACCCCTTCAACTACAGGGAAGTGGGAATACAGCTCAAACCGGGGCCCCGAGTTAATGCTCCACCCCCCTCATCCCCCCATCTGCCAGTGTGCCTCCAGTATCTGGAATCCCAGGAGGATCACCCTGGTGGGCAGGCTGCTGTGGAGCTTTCAGACTAAGACAGACTCAGAAGAAAGACCTGGAGACCTGTGAATGAGAACCTTACGGCTCGCTCACCCAGAAGGTGGGGGTCG